TATCATATATCTATCTATCATTTATAATCTATCTATCTATCTATCATCTGTCTATCATCTATCCATCTATCATCTATCTATCTATCATCTATCTATCTACCATCTATCTATCTATCTCTATCATCTATCTATCATCTATCTATATCTATCATCTATCTATCATCTATCTGTCTGTCCTATCATCTATCATATCTATCATCTATCATATCTATCATCTATCAATCTACCATCTATCTTCTATCTATCTATCTATCTATCTATCTATCTATCTATCATAAATCTATCATCTCTATCTATCTATCTATCTATCTATCATCTATCAACTATCTATCATCTATCTGTCTATCTATCTATCTATCATATATCTATCTATCATCTATAATCTATCTATCTATCATCTATCTGTCTATCATCTATCTATCTATCATCTGTCTATCTATCATCTATCTATCTACCATCTATCTATCATCTATCTCTATCTACCTATCTATCTATCTATCATCTATCTATCTATCTATCGATCTATCATCTATCTATCCATCTATCTATATCTATTATCTATTATCTATTATCTATCTATCTATCTATCTATCTATCTATCTATCTATCTATCTTCTATCATCTATCCTGTGCTTTGAGCCCTGGGAAGAGTCCTGGGTGGCTCCAAATTGCTCATAACTATTTCATCTATTTCCTTCATCCCTCGATGATCCCTCTGGGAAATCAGGATCAGGATTTATAGTGAATAAAGTACAGACTTTGGAGTCAAGCAGATCTAGATTCAAATATTGCTTTACTTTCTAGTATCATGTCATGTCCAGTACTGACTCTCCTCTTGAACTAAGAGTTCTATCCTAAGTTGTGAAAGGTATCTCTGTTAGTCAGCTCCTTGTTACTACAATGAAACATCTGAGGCAATCACTGTATAAAGAAGAAAAGTTTATTTTGGCTCACAGTTTTGGAGGTCTTGGTGTATGATTAAATCACGATGGGGAACTCATGGTAGAGCAAAGCTGTTTACCACATGATGGCCAAAAGGCAAAAAGGAAAAAAGGAGGAGCTGGCATCTCAACATCCTCTTCATGAACACAGAGACTTCAGTGACTTGAAGACTGTCTATTCAGCCCTGCCCCTTAAAAGAACCCATACTCTTAAAAAAAAAGCCAGGTTGGGGCTGGAGAGATGGCTCCATGGTTAAGAGCACTGACTGCTCTTGCAGAGGATTGGAGTTCCATTCCCAGCACCCACATGGCGGCTAACAACTGTCCATAACTCCAGTTCCAGGGGAATCCAATGGCCTCTTCTGACCTCTGTAGGCATTGCATGATATGGGTGTACTCACACACATGCAGGTAATACACTCACACACATACAAAAATTTAAAAAAGATTAAATAAAGAACATATTTTTTTCAAAGCCAGGTATGGCAGTGCATTTTTAATTGAATTTTTGTGATTTTCATAGAATATGATTTGATGGGAGATCACTTCCCCTTATTCCCCCTCTCAGTTTAATATTTTCTGTAATATATAATGAGGTCCATTAAGTCTAATTTGTGTCTGTAAAAGTCCATCAGTGTGGGTCCATCCACTGGCAGCTTGTCAACCTACCAAGAGTCCCATCCTTGAAAGAGACTGCTTTCTCTCCTTCGCCACAGCCATTGGTTGTCAAAATTTCCTTAGGTTGGGTTGGGGTTTCTTGTCCACATCTTCATGTCTATGCTAGAATTTTTTTTTTCTGGTTTAAACTTGCATGGGACTTGCATATGCTGTCACCACTGCTGTGAGTTCATGTGAGCAGCTGACCAGCTGTCTGGAAGACTCTGTTTCCTTGTGGTCATCTACCACTTCTGGCTCTCACAATCTTTCTGGTCCCTCTTCCGCAATGGTTCCTGAACCTTGGGAGGCAGAAGTTTGAAACAGATTTCCTGGTCAAGGATAAGCACTCAGTGCATGATTTTAATCCCAACCCTGCAAGGCAGAGACAGGTGGATCCCTGAGGCTCTCTGGCTAGCCAAGCTAACCTATTGGGCAAGTTCCAGGTCAGAGAGAGATGCTGTTTCAAACAAGGTAGAGGCTCCTGAGGAAAGACATCTGAGGTATCCTTTTGCCTCCACATGCGTGCACACACATATGCAGGCACACCTATATACATAGATGCTCCCACATATACATATGGACCCAAAGACCCAAGAACAGGCACACAGACACACAAAGTTTTTAACATCTACACACACACACACACACACACACACACACACACACACAGATTCTCATTCCCAAATATCACAAAACCTTTGTTTAACATATGGGCATTTTGGGGACCCTCTAGGTCCAAATGATAGCACTGTCTTTCTGAAGAGAACCTATTTCTTGATGCTGTTGCTTCTTCCTCTTGGTCTTGAAACAACTTCAGTTTTAACCCTTATCATGTTATATGCCTGGTACACTGATAAACTACTTCACATTCACTAATTTACTTAATTTTAAATATGGTATTGTGAAGGCGATATAATTATTATCATTGAGACAAACTCACTGAGATAACTCTCAAAAGTCACACTTCTAAAATACTATATTTATTATTTTTATTTTATGTGTATGAGTGCTTTGCCTGAATGTATGAAAGTGCACCTGTGTTATGCAGGGCCCAAGGAAGTCATTAAAGGCCCTGGAACTGCAGTTACAGATGGTTATTAGCTGCTTTGTGGGTGCTGGGAACCAAACCCAGGTACTCGGGAAGAGCAGCCAGTGTTCTTAACCATGGAGCCATCTCTCCAGCCCCAAGTCACACTTCTAAAACATAGGCTGGCTAGTGCTGAGGGGGTTGAGTGAAGTCCAAACACTAGTGGAGAGAAAGAGAAGGCTTTGGAATCAGGTGCGAGGACTGCCCAAGCTTCCTCACCTATTGAAAGAACAGGAATGCTCTGTGAAAGTGCCTTGAGAAGGAAATGGATCAGTCTATCTCAATGCCTGCCTCAGAGCGCTGGGAAGCCTCAGATTTCATGAGTACTCACCCCATCACCTGGCTCAGCCATTTTCCCTCTATATTCATCCTATTCCCAGACCAAGACATAAATCAGGCAGGAGGATCCAGATCAGAACATCTATCAGAATTCCTACATAGACTTTCCTCTATAGAGAGAGAGAGAGAGAGAGAGAGAGAGAGAGAGAGAGAGAGAAAGCACTGTTCAAGCACACATGCTTTCTGCAGTGACCAAGCAGGAGTTCATGGGGATAGTGGTAATAGATCCACACCTGACATGCTTTGCCAGATTCTAAGAAGTGGAAAGCAGATGGGAGAGGCCCAGGATTTCACATCTGGCAACAAGATAGAGCACAGAGGTGGATGATGGGGGTCTGAGGTGAAGGGGTTTCAAGATGTAAAATGTTGTTCAGGCTGTGCCCCTGTACTTAGTTAAGTTCTGGGCCACAGTTCCGAGGCTCCTGCTGCAGGTTCAAAGAGGCTGAACACAGCCTTCCCCAGCCCAGCTCCTGCTGTCTCTGGTGGTTATCAGGAGTCCAAGCTCTCCTGATGGAGAAGGAAATGTGGGGGCAGCCTTTATCATCCCTTTAGAAAGGATGGTTGAAAGTGCTGGGAAGCCCAAGGGCAGCCTATTCCTGACCCGGTAGAAAAGCTGGCATGAGAGAGTAAGGCCTAATACTTCCCTCAGCTCCTCAGACCAGCTGGGATTCTATTTTTAACTAGCACTGTCTTAAGTTGACAGCTTGGAACGCCTTCTCCCTCATTTTTTTCCTTCCTCCAGTCTCTTGCAGCCTAGAACCTGGTAGAAACAATGATGGGAATGACCCTAGAAGTCGTAAACAGAAGACCTGCTCTCCTTTCTCGCTGTCCTTCCCTCCTCCAGACTTTCCCTAGGGTGGTTAGGGGGTGGATGTTAGAGGTGCATTGACTGCGAAGCTAATGGCACTTACATTTCAGGGCTCCTTTCCAAGACCCTGGTCAGTATCCTAGCAATTTTGTGTCTGCTAATTTTGTTTTATTTTTCTGTAGCAAGGGCATCAAAATGATGTACACTTCATGTCTCATAAAACTTAGATCTGCTTACCTCCAGTCAGCACCTGTGTCACTGTTTCTTTGTAACTATTTATTCTATGATAATTTGCCTTGTGGGTACAATGTATTTAGGGCATACTCACCATCTCCCCTGCACCCCCTCAACTCCCCAGGACTCGCCTCCTCCCCATCCCAACACGCCAGCATGGAGAGGGACAAGGATCACAATGCACCACCCCTAGCTGAAGAGCTATGGGCTGTTCTTTTTTAAAAAATTAGATTAAAAAAATTTATCTATTATCATGTGTGTGTGTGTGTGTGTGTGTGTGTGTGTGTGTGTGCAGGTGCACATGCTACATTCTGTGTGTGAAGAGCTAAGGTTGCTGGCCACTGCCTTTCTCTGGGGCTAGATAAGTTTTATGGTCAAATGAGAAGTTCAGATCTGGGACTCCAACTGAGGCCCAGCCACACACTCCAGCCCTTCACCCACAGGTCTGTGTTGTCATATCTAGTAAAGGTGTTTCTATTTGGTGGTATCTTGGCCAGTTCCTGATACTGCAGGAGAGCAAATATTTAATAAAAAAAGCCCTACTCTTTAACTTCTATATACCTGTCCTGGTCTGATACCTGGTATTTTAAACACACATTGAATAATTTTAGTCTTATGTAGTGTTTCATCTTTTCATCAAAAATTTAATAAGCATCCGTTAATGTAGTACTTTAACAATGGTACCATGTGGGAGAATGTGCTCAGGAATCATGATGTGTCATCGATATCCCACCTCCCACACTGAGTCTCAGCTACTACAACACTGGAGTACGGGGAGGTCCGAGACCAGAAGCCAGAGGATACAATCGGCCCCATTTCACCTCAGACCCAGGCTCTTTTGCACAGGATTGTACACAGCAGTGAGTAGTTATGGAAGGGAACAGACAAAATCCACACCTGTTTACCTGCCCCCCAAAATTCAGAAGGTCCAGGAGAAAGCCAAGTCATTTATTATTTTATGAGGAAGTTTGCTGAGAGAAGAGGGGCAGGGCCAAGGTTCCCAGCGGAAATGGATAAGAGCACTTTTCAGTGCTGAAAGGCCTGTTTGTGAGGAAGGTGTGCAATTTGGCCTATTGGTATTTTCAAAGCCGGTTGGGGAAGGGCACGGTGAGTCAAACTGGGGACAGACTGGAATGTCCTGAGTCAGTCTTGTGTTAGGCTTGTGGCCATTAGAGAGACAGTGCCACTAATGTGAGGAATAGGTCAGCCCTGGTCAGAGCTCTCCCTGTACAGGGAAAGTTCACTGCTTGGGATGCTGTGTCTGCTTGTCCAGGGCCATCAGTGCCAGGTGTCTAAAGATGGGATGCAGTCCTAAAAGAGAAGTGTGCCCCCCTTTCCTGTGAGAGACTCAAGTTCATGTTTTCTATTGGTCAGCAAAGCTACAGTTTTCTGTGTGTTGGGGTCTGTCCATGCTGCTGGGTGTCCATCTGTGGTAGTCCTGGGTTGTGTTTCTTATGGAATTGGATGGGTCAGTGTTTGTAGGGATCATGTGCTTTGTCTCATCCTCCAATCCCACAAACCTTCAGCCAGGCCCTAGCGTGCTGATGGTGGTGTAGCTCAGCCTGGACAGGGAAGCGATGGAAGGGGTAGGAGGATCCTCATCAGGAAGTGGCCGGGGGCGTGCTCGTGGAGGTCGTGGGCAGCAGCGGGAACACGTGTCCAGGCAGGCCTGGCGAAAGCGACGGTGCATGAAGCAGTAGACTAGGGGGTTGACACAGGCCGAGGCATAGCTCAGCAAGTGGATGAACGAGATGGGAGCCCCCGAGAGTGCCCGGTGTGCGCCCCTGGCGTCGAAGGCACGCCAAGTGTTGGCGCTGTACACCGGCAGCCAGCACAGGAAGAAGAGCACGACGATCACCAGCAGCATCCTCACTACCCGTTTCTTTGCCAGCAGCTTGGCCTGGTTGGGCCGGGGGCCAGAGCCTGACCCGGGGCCTGACCCAGGAGTGGGCGTGGTCAGCGCAGTCAGCTCCAGTGCAGGCCGGGAGCGTGGAAGTTGCACGTAGCAGCCGTCACTGTCCTCCCCAACCAGGCTAGTCTCAGGCCGGCAACGCCCGTTCTGATGGACAGGCCCTGGGCGCAAAGGATGGACGGTCCAAGCAGAAGTCAGGGTCGTCCTAAATTCCAGCCCAAGCCCCTCTGGGGCTCCTCCCCCACAGCCTTCACCCCCGCCCCTCCAGCCGCCTTTCTTCACTAGTTTCAGACCCACCCACGTGATGCCACTCCCATCCCGAAGCCCCGCCCCTGGTGCATTTCACCCACCTGGTGCACCCGGCAGGCCTCCTTGGTTTCGAACCCGGCTTTGGCTCTCGCTGTCGCTGTCACCGTCAAAGCGAAGCCCTAGGTAGAGCTCTCGGGAGATGAGCCCGTAGGCCACAGCCATAACCACACCTGGGATGAAGAATAAGAGCAGGAGCAACAGCACCGACCTGGAGACAACACAGACCAGCCGCGCGGGTCTCAGGGCGGCCTGTCACTGGTGGAGGAACAGGCAGACTAGTATCGCTAGGGCTGCGGCCAGGTGGAGACGGGAGGATCTGGGGATGCGCAAGAGAACCGGCGAGGGGCCCCAAATTGGAATTCCAGTGTGAGGGGGCTATGGGGCTGGGGGGCGGCATTCTTGGAGCAGGACTGCTCGGCGGAATGGATGTAGTCATTTGATGGAAATGAAGAAGGGGATTCTTAAGATGGGCGGGGTGGGGGTCGGCGTCTCACCAGGTTTGGCGGACCCTCGCACTGGGCCAGCGATGCACGCACTGCAGCACCCGAGGCCCCACTGGCTGCACCACAGTGTACACAGGGTAGGGTATCATAAGCAGTCCAGACAGCAGCCACGTGGCTAAGATCACCCGAGCTGCGTGGGAGCGAGTCTGCCACACCCGTGCTTGCAGTGGTCGGCAGATGGCGCTGTACCGCTCCAGGGCGATGGCCACGAGACTTAACGTGGACACACTCACCGACACCCCTAAGCAAGGGAAGAGGAAAGGGTCACCTTGGAAACATGTACTGCACGCTCACCAGTATGATTTCCTCCTCCCCATCAAGTAAGATCCTTTTTGTCAAGGAAGAGAATGAGCCTGAGGGGGGTGCGGGGGGTGCAGGGGAGAGGTTTGGTTGTCTCACTCACCCATGAGATAAGAGACTGCCTTGCAGATGACTGTGCCAAAGATGAAAGTGCCCATGAGGTTGGGCAGGAGTGTGAAGGGCATGCAAGCCACAGCTAGCAGGAGATCGCTGACCGCCAGTGAGAGCAGGAAGGCGTTGGTGACAGTTCTCAAACGGCGGCTGAGTCCCAACACCACAATGATGAGCACATTCCCCCCAACGCTCATCAGAAAGATCACTGCATACAGGGTGACTCTGATGGCCAGTTCCAGTTCTGGGCAGAAAAGGGGAGATGGCAGGAGAGGGTCTGGGTTCCATTCAGCCAGATCCTCAATACCGCTTAATTCCGAACCCTTAGTACCCAGCCAGATCCTCACACCTAGAGAACACTCCCTCCACACTCCAGGGCATGCTTAGTAAATGGGGACCTCAAGTTCTTTACCATCAAAACGCTGAGCCTTTGTGAAATTGGCCCAACTAGGCTCTTCCTTAAAATCTCTCTCTCCTTAGGGTCAATTGCAAACGTTGTTTTTCTTTCTTTTTTTAAAAAAAAATTAATTTTTTAATTTTATGTATGTGAGTGTATTGCCTGCACGTATGTAAGTGCACCCTGTCGTACAGTGCCTACGGAGGTCAGAAGAGGGTGCCGGATCTCCTGGAACTGGACTTATAGACAGCTGTTAGCCACCTATGTGGATGCTGGGACTTGAACTGGGGTCCCCTGCAAGAGTAGCCAGTGCTCTTAACCACTGAGCCATCTCCCTAGTCCCAAGCATTGGTTTTCTTTGCAAACTTTTCCCATTCACTAAATCGTTATTGTACAAGGCCCTGTCCTCATCTCTGGACACTTCTCAAGATCTGTCACTACCAAATCCAAAGCTTCCTTTACTATTCTGTTGAGCCTCCCTGTACTGTTTGATGTTGTTGACCACCCACTCCCTTTAGAACCATATTGAATCATGTCTGTGTTTCCTAAAACAAGCAATTCCCCAACAAAACAAAACAGTCATTCACTACTCTGTACTGTCCACAAGGCCTCCCTTGGGACCATCACCTCCTCCCTGTGCTGCATCCACTCAGATCACTCGATGACTCAGTTTCTTGAACGCATCAGGAGCACTTGTGACTCCATTCCTTCTCAAGTTGACTTCTCTGCCTGGAATATTTTTTCATCAGCCACCTGCTTCCACCCCCATCATAAATGTAAACCTGCTCAAGTCCTAAAAGTCCCTTGTGCATCAAGAATCAGATTGACTGCCGTCTCTTTGCAGGGCTTTTCTGTACACCTCGTTTGCCATTAATCTCCCATTCCTTTGACCCACACATGTTCCTTATTTCTTACACACTTATTAGAACCCCCTTCTCTTTTGCTATGTGCTTTAATAATCTCGTCATTCTTGAACTCAATAAAGATTTACAGAGCACTTCCTCTGTGTTAAGCACTAGGGACAAGAGGGGTGACTGTGGCAAGCTCCCTGCCATCTGAGTGCTCACAGGAGGGAATCTTAGATACTTACACAGATAATTGCCACAGGACCGAGGTTGAGAGATGTAAAAGAAGTCCTGGGTGCCCCAGGAGGGACTAATACTGCTGGGTGAGTGAGAAGGGCCAGGAGGCTGACCCTATTTGTTTGTGTCATTGTCTATTGGGAGATGGATTCATCTTTGGACCTTTGTATCACAGGCATGCAGACCTGCACAAAATTGGATTGAATTGAACCGGACGGAATCATCCATACCCATGGCCTCTGAGTGAGGGAGATTGGATCTTGAAGGGCCAGAGAGCAAGGGCAGGTCCTCTTAAATTGTGGAGTAGGAAGAGCTTAGAGGTGCCGCCATCTCCTCTGGCTGACTGGTCTCTTTTCTTAATGAACTCTTGGCTTAGTTCCAAAATTTTATTGTTTTCTCATAACAATAGCCAATTTATTTAGAAGTTGTTATAGGCAGAGAGTAAGCACTATTAGAAATTCCCAAGCAGGGGGCTGGAGAGCTGGCTCACTGGCTAAGAGTATTTGCTGCTCTTGCAGAGGACTGGAGTTCAGCTCCCATCACCCGCATCCCACAGTCCTCAACTGTCTTCAACTCCAGCTCCAGGGGATCCAATGCCTTCTGGTCTTTGCAGGCACTTGGATACATGTGCACAGATACACATACAGATATGCATACACACATGAAAAGAAATAATAAAATAAATCATTAAAAAATCCCCAAACAGGGCTTATCAGTGAACTAAATCAGAAGAGAAGCTCATCCCTGGATGCCGACAATGTTTCCCTCTTGCAGCTCCCTTGGGGCCCTGCCATCCTTCACATTCTTTCTCCCAGTCAAATCTCAACCTACATGTCTTCTTCTCTGTTTCTCTATGTTCTATCATAGCCTCCCAACCTATTATATTTACTTTTCTCTCTTCCCCAATAAAGTATGAGCTTCTTGAGGACAGGGACAGGCTCACCACATTCAGCACTGTCTACTAGCACTTGACATGCCTCCCGCAGGAGATAGTCAACATACCCTGGTCAGTAACTCTTGAATGAACTTTTGAAGCTGGAAATGCACCTGTTTTTCTTTCTCCTCATCTACCCCTTACTTCTGTAAAGGTGCTCCATGATGCCTCTCCTTTCTGCCTTTATATGTTGGGAGACACACGTTGGAGGGTCTTGAGGGATCAATGACACTGTGATTTGGATGCAGTTCTTGTACTCTTATAGGTCTACTTTTCAAGCTACTTTCTTTTTATAAGGAAAGACTATGGAAGGCTTATGTTGTGTGACATTTGAGGGGTGTGTGTGTGTGTGTGTGTGTGTGTGTGTGTGTGTGTGTGTGTATCCTGAGTCAGCACAGTGACTTCAGTGACCAGAACCCTAATTTGGGATGGAAAGGTGGGAGTACCCCCTTAGGCAGCATGTACTGTCTCCTTAAGCTCCCCTGAGATAAAAGCAGAGAAGAAAACAGCCAAAGGGACTCAGATGACTAGAGCTGTCCAGTTCTTCCTTGGGACTGTGCAAGATCTCTACAGATAATGGCAGAGAAGGATGAACAAAGAATACAGACATCATGATATGAAACAAAAGCTATGTTTGGGCTAGCAGTATAGCTCAGTGGGTAGAGTGCTTGCCTAGCGTGCACAAAGCCCTGGGTTTGAGCCCCAGCACCACATACACTGTAATCTCAGAGGATGGAGGCAGGAGGGTCAGGAGTTCAAGGCCAGATTAGAATACATGACACCTTATCTTAAAAAAAAAAAAAAGTCAGGTTTTTCTAAGGAAGACTGCACAGAGCACTGAAGCAGCTGATGCCTTTACTGGTGTGTCGGGTCTGGTCACGTATGCATACAGGCATCATAATATTCATGTCTGACTCTGTAGTGAGCATCCAGCATCCAACTGACTGTGGGAGACATTTGGGTGAATGGGATATATCCTGGGTTCCGTGAACACTAAGTAAGGGAGCAGAGGTGTGTAGGCAATATCAGAGCACTGAGTAATACTTTAGTCTTTGAGAATAATAAAATAAGGGTTAAAGTAACCCTTTATTTCTCTGGGAGATTTCTGGAGAAGGGTAACAACTACAAGTCTAAAGGTAATATCAGCTTGAATGTAGGTTATATTTCAGTTTAAAGAACACCCAAATAGCAGTTATGGCATTGGGATAATCAAGGACAATATCTATCTATAGATAGCATCCCTTTTGAAGGTGAAGCATGGGCTACATTCAGAGCTCTGTATGCGAACTGGGGACTAGCCAAGTGATGTAGGCAATGACTGAGGGGGCAGTTGTAATTCCCAAGTATGTGTGGGCAGTATTTAAATGATTGTAGATGTCAGGTGTTAACATGTAAAGTTAAGCTACTAATCTTGATTGTGGGACATTGCTGAGAACCTGAGTGAACATGGGAAATATTTGAGTCTTTGCTGACAGTATCTGAGTGTGTGAGAATGATACTACATGATTTTTCTGGTAATATCCAGGGGTGTGGAAAACCTGTAGTCCTAGGCACTCCAGAGACTTAATGCAGGAGAATTGCTGAGCCGCCCAGTTCCAGTCCAGCAGGCACAACATATGAGACCTTGTTTAAGGTTTTTTTTAAGTGTCTACTCATTCCCTCACACAACTCAACAGACTTTCTAGCATTATTCTTTCTTTCCAACTTCTTAGAAGTTTTGTCTACTGCACTTGCTCATATTTTATAACCCCTTCCTTGCTGACCCAACCCTCAATCTACCAAGTTGGGTCTCAAGAACTGAGTATTGGATCCCAATAGCACTAGTCTGTGGCTCTTTTGTTCATTTGACATTGTTTACTCGAGACTCTTCTTTCTTGCTTTCCACAGGACATAGCTCCTATTTCTGCTTCATGTGAATCTCTTCATGGACTTTCCTCCCCTGTTTTCCTTTTGCACTGATTTTCTGTAAAGTCCTGTTGCAGAGTCTCTGTTCTTTTCATTCAGTGTGATGGCTTTTTAATATATATTTTATTTATTAGACTGGCAGATCCCCAGGAACTGGGGTTATGGGCAGTTGTTAGCGGCCATGTGGGTGCTGGGATTTGAAACCAGGTCTTCTGCAAGAACAGCCAGTGTTTTCAATCTTTGAGCCATCTCTCCAGCACCACAATGAGATGTTTTTTTTAAAAAAATGATTTTATAGCCAGGCATGGTGGTGTACACCTTTAATCCCAGCACTTGGGAGGCAGAGGCAGGTGGATCTCTGTGAGTTCAAGGCCAGTCTGGTCTACATCATGAGTTCCAGGACAGCTGGGGCTACAGGGAGACCCTGTCTCAAAAAGACCAAAAAAATTGATTTTATCCATTCTCATTACTTTCAGTACCTTTTCTAGGCATTGGCTTTTCAAGTCTGTATTTCTAGTTCTGACCTCTGATGAAAGTTACAGATCCCTGCATTCAACAGCTTGTTGGGCAACCATGAGTGTTTAAATTCAGTAGGTTCCAAACTGATTTTATAATAATCCCTCTTCCAAACCTACTTTTGCTCCTTTGTTACTAAGGATTAAATTCAGGGCCTTGCAGTCACTTAGGAAAGTGCTCTAACACTGAGGTATATCTCCAGCTCCTCTTAATTGTGTTTCTATGATATGCCGTCAACATCCATTCAACTGCCCAAGCTAGAAACTGGATGTCATCCCTTGACCTCATCTGCCCTCTCTACTTCTAATCAGTCGCCAGGTTCTGTTGATTCCATTTCCAGAAGTAGCCCTCCAATCTAGCCACTTCTCTCCATCCCTACTGCCAGTCCCTCAGTCTAAGATAGCATCATCTTTCAGCCAGATTTGTGTAATGCAATCACTTTCTGAGGCATCTTTCTGCATCCATCTCATCCTCTCATCCATTTTCTACATAGCACGACTAATCCTGTCAGTGCTGCTGAACCTTTCAGTAGATCCCATTGCCTTAGGGACAAAAATCTACACTCCTAGCAAGGGCTTTAAAGCTTTCTGTAAATACTCAAGGCTGGTTCTAACCTAAGTGTTGATTATTTACCTTTAATGGTTCCTGTTTCCAGCCACTCAGAAACTGTTATATTGAACAAATGTGCCAGGCTGGAGGTGTTCCTCTTGTAAGTTCACTGTCTCCATCTGTCAAGATACTTCTCTATGTGCTGCCATTCCCCGATTACTTGTCTCCCTTTCTAAACTCAGAACTCCATGAAATAATTGTGTCAGCTTTGTTAGACTCATATCCTTGCTGCCTAACAAAATTTCAGGTTCAACAAATACTTCTGGAATGAAAGAATCTAAGTAACAGTGGGTGACATCCAGACAGAGAAAGCATAGGTTATTTTATGAGGTAATTAAATATGTGGATTATATTTTAACTTATACTTCTAGAGTTTAGGTTAGAATCCTGCTTAGCACTGTATCCTCTCCTAGAATCCAATTCCTTCCTTCTGTTTACCGAACCCTAACTTTAAGACTCTAGCTCCCAGGTTGCATCATGAGTGACCCCATCTCCTTTGGGTACCTTCTTGCAGACCTTCCAGGCTGTGGAATTTCCAGGCTTCCAATTTTCCCATCCACCTTTCTCCCTGTGTACCTGACTGTGGGCTGATGAGAGTGCAGGCTGTGTCTAGTTCAGTCTTGTCTAGCAGGTGTTCAGTAAACACTGAAAGCAAAGGTTGGTGCCAGAAGGGGGAAATGCAGTTTAAGATGTTGGAGGCAGTGAAGATGTTAGCTGATGGGAGGAGTGAGTCACTTTGAAGATAGGTTTAGTGGAAGCGATATGAGGGGTGGGTGGGAAGAGAAGGTGGTGACACAAGGATGGGGAAGAGGGAGGCTGCAGCTGGGATGGGGAAGGAACTTGGAGGCTCCCGAGAAACACAAGGTATAGAAGCAGCGCTTGGATCTGGGAGGCAGCGGTTTGAGGACAAGTGAAACAGGAAGACAGTAGTAAGCAGCATCACCCCAGTGACCAGCTAAATTCAGAGCTTGGGAAGACTGGGTTAGGGTGGGAGTCACAGACTACAACTCTAACTTCCCATTCAGGCATCCAGAGAGCGGCTCAACCAGCCCAGCCTCCTTTTTGTTTTCTGTTCATCCTTCCCTTCCCATCTCTACAGCTGTGTGGGGATGACCAGAAATCGTGGGTATCATAGGGGAAGTGTGAGACCAAGGGCTGTGTGTGAACCGGTGGTGTGAAGGTGTGATGGAGCTGTAGGAGCTGTGGGGCCCAGTGTGAGAAGAGGAGGGACCTGTGTGGTGCGGAGGAAGTACTAGGAGGGCAAGCTAGGGCATCTGAAGGTGCAGAGGTCCTGAGCGCTCCCTAACAGTGCTATGGGATGCCTCTAGAGTTTGCGGGAGCAGCTTAGGTAGGCACCCACCTCTGGTCCCGGTTCCGCGGATGCGAGGGGGCTCGCAGCTGAGATTGCCAGCACTGCTGCCGTTGAGGAAGGGGGCACCTGGGCGGCACAGAGAAGCGCCGGGTCCGGGTCCCGGTCCGGGTCCGGGCCCCTGCAAGCTGCGGTTGAGCTTGAGCAGCTCCATGGCCCCCGCGGAGCCCCACTCCACTCCGCCGAGTGGTTCCACCTGCTCCCGCTGTGCTGGCGGCTCCGGCTCCCGCCCACTCCGTCGCCCTCCCCTCCAGGTCCCCGCCCCCAGCCCTGGCCCTGGCTGCTCCACTCCTCCACCAGCCTCGCCTAGGCTCTGGTCGGACTCTGGCTCCGGTCGGCTTTTGTCCCACCAGGTGACACTTGGGGCGCCTCCCCCGCTGGAGTTCTGCGTGCTCTTGGGTCGCTGCTGCCCAGGCTCGTCCCCGGGCTACATTCTCCCGGCTTCTCTCAGCGGTGCCTTTCCTGCCTCCTAACCAATGCCCCCATTTCTGGGGAATTCGTGTGTGTGTGTGTGTGTGTGTGTGTGTGTGTGTGTGTGTGTGTGTGTGTGTGTGTGTGTGTGTGTGTGTGTGTGTGTGTGTGTGTGTGTGTGTGTGTGTGTAGGCGCCTGCGCGCGCGCCCGCGGGAGGGGGTGAGGTGATGCGGGCAGACAGTAGCTGCTGGGCGGCCCTGCATCTTTCTTTGGTGGTTTAGAGAACCTGGAGGTGGCGGTGGTGCTTGGATTTGAGTCCTGGGGTCACCCGGGGCTGCTCAGGTGCTCTGGTCTGGCTTGTGCCGCAGTGGCTGCCGCGATCTCAACACTGTCAGCCGCAGCTCCCTGCAGCTCCGTCGACAGGGTTGGGGTAGCTCTTGCTACTACCCCAGCACAGTCCACCTCTAACCTGAAGTCCAACACTTTGGCTTCCGCCTAAGGGTCCCGAGGAATCCCCAGCAATGGGGAGAGGGGCAGATGTTCACAACGCAGCCTGCCCCGGGAATGGAGATGAAAACTGCCCAGAATAAACTAGTGCGAGGTGGCATAGGGTTCTAACCCTCCCCCCCGCCCCGCCCAGGCAAACGAGGGGGTGGGGGAGGCATCTGACTATCTCCTTGTCTCCAGGCAGCGTCCACCCCCACCCGACTCGCTGATGCTGGGTGTTTGCACTCAGCGCAAGTGCAGCGCCTGTGTGGGTGTGGGGGTTCTCACGAGTGGGGGCCAGAAGAGGACTGGGTCACTGGGCTGCAGCAGGAACAAAACTGAAGGTGTGCGTGGATGTGCGAGACAGAGGGGACTCAGCTTCGGAGGCAGGACTGACCTCCTCCCCACTTTCAGTTATGCTTCTCCTCCATTCCAAAGAGACTCCAGGACGAGCTGGGATTTCATCTTTTTGGCTCCAGAAGTGGCTTTGGGGAGGGGCATCAGTGGAAGAGATTAGGGCTGGGTGGGGTCTGGCTATATGGGGAATTCAGAGTTATATCCTATGAATGTTTTGGAAAGGATCTGGTTCAGCCAGCACTGAGTTCACAGGGGCTGAAGCATTGGAGGAAGGGTTAAGCCTGGGGTGTCATCACCTGCATCCTTTCCTCCTGGCTCTTCTGAGAGCCCGGGACCAGTGAAGCTTGAGGTACTGTTTGCTCAGCTCTAGCACAGGTGGAGCCTACGATAACCTGCTGAACTTTTCCCACATTGGATGACGGTAGTGTGGGAGAGCAAGGGGACAAAGGGGAGAGGGATGCAAACAGAAGTAGATGGGCCTTCCCTTATTAGGCAAACCATGTGCCTGTTAAGGAACTGTGCACTACCTTTCCCATACAGTCTGTCTCTGATGAGGTCCCACCGTAGTGAGGAGCTTACCAAGTACGCTAGAGATTGCAATACACAGTCCTAAGTACAGGTACTAAGATGCACAAACTAGAAACTTAGGAAGCATCCTTACACCCTTTTCTTTTCCCTTGTTTTGGAGGCTGTGACACAAAGTCCACACTCATCCTCAGATATGAAGGTTTCATTCTCTGGAAGACAGCACTGAACTATCAGCTCCCTTCGGAAGTCATTTGAACAGAACACCAACTTGTTCAAGGTCATGAACCCTTTCTTGGGTATCTTTCATCCAATGACTGGTCAGCACAGAGGTATAAAGGCACAGTTCCCTCATCCCTCTGAAGGGTGACTCTGAAATCTGTGTACAACACTCCAGGTTCTCCTTTGAGCCTGACTGAGGACTTTGTTGGGACTGAATTACTCCTCAGCCTCTCTCTTTGCCTAACCTTGTTTTCATTTTCTCTTGTACAGGTGTTGACTTCTAGAGCACTCTTCAGTAAACATCCTTCTCAGTAATCTCTGTTTTAGAGTCTGCTTCCTGGGGAATAGTAACTACATTGCTCCCATATTCAATTAATCACAAACTACTGTTGATTTTAGCTACTGACTGACTCTGTTTGCTTATATATTCAGCAGTCTCTTGTGCTACAGTCCTAGGCTCCTACGAGGGTCACCACACTGGCAGTCCTCTATTATGTTGCCAGAGTGTATGTTCAGAATACCTTTCGAATCATGCCAATCTTCTGATGTTTGCTTTTAGGACAGAGGAAATCTTTCAGTGGGATCTATAAAGCCCTCATGGCCTGGCTCAGGCTGATTTCTCTAGGTGGTTTATTTAAGTTTCTGTAGTTTTTGTTCCTTCTGCTGTAGACATAATGGCTTTCCTTCAGTGCCCCATTACCTTTTTGCTTATGAGCATTCCAGTCGTAGGACTTTTACACATGCTTTCTGGACGGTTCTTTCTTCCTTACTCATCTATCTGATCTCATGTCAAAGAGCATTCTGCAGAGATGTTTCTCGACTTCCTTAGGGTGATTCCTCTAATCACTCTCATCCTTGTACAATCATCTCTTTGTGTAGCTGGACCTGTGACTACAAAGAGGTCTGACTTCCATGGTTATTTTATGTGGGAAAAGGGATTTTGTAGGTGGAATTAATGTTACTAATCAGTTGTCCTCAGAATAGAGATATTATCCAGATAATCCTAACTGAATCAGGTAAGCACTTTAAAAGCTAAGAGTTTTCTCTGGCTGGCCAGACAGCAGCAGAAATTAGAATTTTGAAGAACAAGAATGATTCTATACACTATTGGGGCATGAAGTAGGGTGTTGAGATAGTGTCTCAAACAGCCCTGGTTGACCTGGAACTCACTGTGTAGTTGAAGATGACTTTGAACTCCTGATTCTCCTGTCTTTACCTCCCAGTGCTGCTGGCATGACAGGCCTGTACCACCATGCTCAACTCAATACACTATTTAAAAAATACTTTATTTTTATTATTTTTATTTTATTTTATGTGTATGAGTGTATCGCCTGCATGCATGTAAATGAAACCATGTCAAATAATGCCCGAGATCAGAACAGGGCACTAGATCCCCTGGAACTAGAGTTATGGATGGTTGTTAGGACCAATGTGGGTACTGGGAATGGAACCTGGGTTCTGTGCAAAAGCAGCCACTGCTTTTAGCCACTGACCTATCTCCCCAGCTTTCTATTTTTTAAATATTAATTTAAAAATTTATGTGTGTGTGTGCGTGCGTTTGTGCATGCATATACCTGCTGAAGTCAAAAGGAAATGTCAAATCCTTGGAGCTGGAGTTACATGCATTTGTGAGTCACCGAATATGGGTGCTGGGAACTGAACTCATGTCCTGTGGAAGAATAGCTAACACCTTAACTACAGAGCCATCTTTTCAGCTCTTCAATGCATTATTGATGACTTGAAGAGAGGGGACCCTGTGGAGGGATGACAGCAGCTGTTGCAAGCTAGAGGACGGATGAGGGCACAGGGCCAGGCCTGAGAGTGGTCTTTAGCTGAGAGCAGTTCTCCTGTGGCAGCCCTAAAAAAAACAAAAAACCAAAAAAAAAAACAGGGACCTCAGTTCTTCCTGGAATCCGTAGAAGAGAATTCAGCCTAGATGAGCTCAGCCACACTATGCAGACTTCTGGCCAAACAAATCTGTGAGCTGACAAATGTGTGACTTTAAGCCATTGAGCACATTGTATAATTTGTTACAGCAATTATAAAAAAAATGATACACCTTCCAGTTAGGAAGGCATAGAGTGGAAACCCTTGTAAGCCATCGAAGAAGTGGGAGTAGTAGAGAGATTGCAATGTGGAAAGTAATTTAAAAGGTGAGGCCAATTCTCATGAGACAGAGAATGGCTTAAACTAAAGTCATGGGAGGAATGGAGAAAATAGATCCAAAAGTTGTCCAGGAAGTAGGAAGGCAAAATGTAGAGACTGTAGGGAGAGAGTAAGAGACAATGGTGACATAACAGTCCATAAGATTTCTCATAACTGAATAGAAACTGGTAACAGTGACTGTGTTTGAGGCCTGTTACCTTTAATTCTATTTTTCCTTGCAGAGAACTATAAATTTAGGCCTAGTATTGTTTTTGAGTTCATCTATTATTTTGTTTTATAAATTTTAAATTGTCATACGCAATATTAGCCGTCATTATAGTATTTTAAAAATTAGTTTCTGTTAATTTTCCTCCCCCTTCTCCTATATCCCTCAGATCTGCTTGCACCCCCAATGGACCCCCACATCCTCCTTTCCGCTTTCCTGTCATATGCATCCTCCTGCCCTCCCTTACTTCCTTAATTTCTCCTCTTGCCCTGTTGTGGCCTCCTAGACCCACACTTACCCATGTAGATACGTACATGTAAACATTATATATTAGGATCCACAGATGAGAAAGAATATGCAATTTTTGCCTCTCTGAGTCACCTAGCTTAATGTACTATTTCCCAATGTCATCCGTTTTCCTGCATTTTTATGATTTCATTTTTCTTTACTGCTAAATAACATTCCATTGTGTATATGCAACACAATTTCATTATCCATTCATCTGTTGATGGACATCTAGGAGGTTCCATTTCATAGCTATTGTGAATAATGCAACAATAAACATGAATATGCCAGTATCTCTGTGATTGGATATGGAGTCTCTTGGGTATATGCTTAGGAGCAGTATAGCAGGTTGAATGGTATTTCTAACCCCCCTCCCCCTTCTCCTCTTCCTTTCTTTGGTCTTTTTTGAGACAAGGTCTCCCTGTAGCTTCAGCTGACCTGGAACTTGCTATGTAGACCAGACTGGCCTCAGTCTCACAGAGATCCACCTGCCCCTGCCTCCTGAGTGCTGGGATTAAAGGTGTGCACCACCTTACCCAGCTTATTTTTCTTCTTTTGTTTTACTTATCATTATTATCTTGTGTGTGCATGTATGATGTGTTTGTGGTGTATACATACTATGGCAAGCATGTAGAGATCAGAGGACAACTTTGTGGATTTAGTCCTCTCTTTTCCACCTTTACGTGGGTTCCAGGGATCAAACTCCAGGTTGTCAGGCTTGCTTGTCAAATGCCTTTACCTGCTGCACCATCTCTCTGGCTCTTCTTTTTTTCATCTTCTTTTCATGTGTATATGTGTGTGGTGTTTACATGCATGAGGGTGCATGTCCGTGTGCA